AAATCCATCCATTCAAATGGTTCGGATCAAATGTTAAAAAAAAAATTAAGAAAAAAAAAAATAAAAAAAAACAACAACAGCACAAGGCCCACCGAGCAAGTGAAAATAACCCGAGACTAACATGAAAGGCTCATGAGCAACTGAGAGTATCCCAGCATATGGGGCCAAAAGCTTATAAAGCCTTTCGGGCGAATGAGGGGAATCGGCGGAGGACCCTGATCGATCAAGGGTGTCCACGCATATTATCAGATATTACCCCAACAGCAGCGTAGGGCCCTGAGAAAATGCAGAGAAATCAAGGCAACGTAAAAGGCTTTTTATCGATCGGATTAACTCGGCGAGTGAACATATGGGGCCCCGGCAACAACGTAACGCCTATGAACGTAATGAGCCTCAAAATTGCCCCCAGTCACCAACCTCCCAATCAGCGAAGAATTAAGTTTGCCTGCTGATGGGCTATTAACTTTTGCTTGCAACTGTTCTTGGTCGTCTGGAGACCCAAATAGTCCAATTTTGTTGTATTTTGTGTTAAAAAATACTGTGTGTGTCCGGCCGGTTATGGGTAATTTTGGAGTCTGTGGTTCCATTCGTGGCACAAGGGGCATGGCTTTGTGCCCCCCCCCCCCCAGCGGATTCGCCACGAGCAGCTTAATAGATGGGATCCGACAAGAACATAGGGGCATCCATTCAACTAAGAAGTGCCCAACACATAATGGGGAGCGCTCCGAACGATCGAGTGTGCCCGAGAAGGGATGACATCTCGACAAGAGCGCAGGACCTTCCGCTTCAGTAAGAAATATTCACCACACAATATAGAGGACCCCACAACATCGAATGCGCCAAAGCAGGCAACAGAGAGTACCCAAGAGTATCCAAGATCCAATGTAGAGGGCCACCGAACCATCGAGTGTGCCCAAACAGATCACATGGGGCCACCGGCAAGAGCGTAGGGCCCGCCATTGCAAGTAAGAAGTACCTGAGACTCAGTGTGGAGGACCCGAAGGGTCAAGTGTACCCGAGCAGGCTAGCGATGGCTCCCGACAGGAGCGCAGGGCCCTATATTCAAATTCTAAAACCCAACCCGCAGGGCCCCCAAACAATGCAATGCGCCCGAGCAGGTCGACGGATGGGACCCAACCAGACCGTAGGACCCTGTGCAGGTGACAGAGAATTGGAAGGGCCCTAGACGAATGACGAGGGCTCATGAGAACGTGGCGAGTGTGCCGGTAGGCGACCGAGACCAACGTGAAGGGCCCTGAGTAACCGAGAACACCCCGGCAAAGTTTCGCTGTCCCTGCTTGGGCAATGGGCCCTCAGGCCGACGGCGACACGGAGCCGCCTGAGCGGTACTGGTGGTGTCTGACCGACATACCGGCGCTTATCGTCTCAAGAGATCCCGATCAACGCCAAGGGCGCTCTGGTTGAATTGAAGTGCACAAGCATGCGGGCCAAGGCCCTTGGACACGCCCTCCGGCCAACCATGGATTCCTTCGAACCCTTAAATCGGGACCTCAATCACCGTCTCAAAATTGGACCTCTAAAACGCGTAAAAGGAAGCACGCCTCCCGTATACCCCCATCTGCGCCACCAAGCGAGAAGAACCCAAGATCAATGTGGCTGACAAATGCAAAGAAATAAAGGGCATTGTAACTTAGGCTCCTTAACTTTCGGATTGGTTCTGCAAGGAGATAAACGGCTCCGGGAATCAGTGTTGGTCCTCTGGACAGCGTAGTGAGTCTTAAAATCTCTGAATCACCACCTTTTCAATCCGTGAATAATTTTTTTTTGTCTTCTCCTGGTCCCTTCACTTCGCCCGCAACTGTTGTCAGTTGCTTGGAAGCCCAAAGACGTCCAATTTTGTTGCATTTTGTGTAAAAAATTGCATCTATTCAGCCAGCCATGGGCCCTTTCGGGGCCTATGGAGACATTCGGGAACCACTGTGGGGGGGGGGGGGGGGCAATGACCGTCACCCTCGTCTGGGTATGCCCCTGCTTGTCATCAACTTCTCTGGTCTTTCAGTGACGTCACGATTTTGCACCGGGCTGCATAACTTGTAACTTCTTCATTCGATATTTCAGTTACGTCATTAATTACTTGAGAGACGTTACCTCAGGACATAGTTGTTATGGGGCCTTGCCTCAGCCGCACGTTCACGTTACATTCATTCTCGATTCCGAGACGCGTGCGTTTGCGGTAGGCGGCACCGGCTGAACGGTCGGCACTGCTTATGTGATTTTCGCGCAGTTATGATTTATTATCGTTGTAAGAACTATCTTTAACGGCTGCTTAAAGATCGTGAGTATTGTTCCTATTCTTCATACCATTAGTCCATAGTATTCCAGATTGGCATTACAAGAAGAAAATCGCTGTTCTCTTGTAATTAACGATGTTTTCTATAAACAGGACGTTTGATGTATATGTTCGTTTAAAGGAGTGGTGTATTCCTTTTATTTTGACCCTTTATGGTGATACTGCTGTGCAGAGGACTTCCCATGCTAAAACTTACAAATTAGGACATATTTGTTTGGGGGAGGGGGATGAATCATGGTCATTTTGCACCATTTATGATGCTCTCATCTGGGAAAGTTCCACATCTGCATAATTTTTTAGCATACTCTCTTTGCCACTAAACAATATATCTTTATCAGTAAGACATAGTGGACATTATTAAATGTTTAAACAGCTTGAGGTGGTAGCTTCCTCTCAGTTACAGTACTTACACATATCTAATGTTAAGAAAACACAAACACCATAGCTGAGATGCATGGAGCTAAAGCTCATTTTGCACACTTTTGTTATTGGTAGGCTTGAGGTGGGAAGTCAGATGCGGCATGCAGGCTGGAAATTGGCTGCATAATAAACTGGCTTGAGGATGGCTTAATTTGTGCCGTTGGTTTGGTGCCAGAGGTTCAGGTCCAGGTCCAGGTTGTCAGGTCCAGTTGCAAAATATGCACACTTTCTTTTTTATGCAGTCCTGATAAGTGATCTGCACAGCAGAGAGAGATACACAACTTTTGTTATAAACAAGGCTGGAAGAATATGGCAGCAAACATCATCTGTAGGATAATGCCCTTAGACTCATGTTAATCAGAAATAGGATGTTTGTTCTTCATTTTAAAGTAAAATATAGTGACCTTTGTGCAACAAAATATGATCACCTGTCTGTTGTTAGCTGAGAGACACTGAAATAATGTTAACTTTTTTAATTTTTCCTTTTGCAACATTTTTGGCTCAAATTATTTCAGACAGCAAATGGGTTATTGGGAGCCAAATTGCATATGATAGGGGTGATCCCGACATTGGTAGGTAGGGCGACTCAACATTAGGGCTGCTGTGGCTCTGCAAAAGCATGTACTCTTTGTGAACTTTGTTATGCTTTTTAACCTCAGAGATGGATACTGGTATTGATTTCTTGAGTCTGATTAGGTTATAGGTTAGACATTCTAGGTTTCTGTGGACCAGCAAATTGCTTTTTTGCATGTATTTTGGAATGCACTGATTTGGGGCTTGAACAAATGTGGAGAACATAATAAAGCAAGAAGTATGTTCCATTAAGCACAGTAATGCCATCACTGTAGGCAAGACTGGTCTTTGACATGTGCCTTCACCTGTGTGTGCATGTGCATTACATGCATAACGGGTGTTTTGTGCTCATGTAAAGGTACTCCTTCCATGGTGCAAGTTTTGGCCGTTAAAAGCGAATTACATTGAAATAATCAAAGTCACAGTTATAGATAGCATGTGTCGTTGTTGCCCATAGCTGTTCCATACCAGTAAATTGATAAAGCTTTGTGCCTGCAGTGATTTGTATTAAGCTGGTCAATAAGTACACACATATGAATCACCATTTCATGATGTGTATAATGTTACTTGTAGGCTTGGAAACCACCCAAGCTGTAAAATGGGGCTTAATTGACAAGAGCACCATTGGTGTCACTGAATTTCAATGGATGTGGGCTGGGAGGTTGCTACATGTACACAATCCTTGCTTTGTTGCAGTCTATTAAGTGCTAAGTACTGTCCATATAGTTTTCAGGATCTGACGGGTAGGGTCAAGACGTGCTGGCATTACAAACGTTAGGTGGGTTGTGTTGAAGCAGGCACTGGTAGGGTATGTAGCAAGTTGCAATTCTGGTTTTTGTTTTTGTTTTATGTTCACACATATGCTAAGGAGTTATCAGGTATGTGGGTTGTTGGCTCATAGCTTGGGGCAGATGTTATTGGTCCACTAATGGTTGACAGACTTTTTGTATAGTGCATTCTTATTTGAACAGGGTAATTAACAGTCTTAGGCTGCAGCAATTTTAGTCTTTTGTAACTTTGCAGCATATTAGTAAATGGTGTCATTTATCTTGCCTTGCCTGTATAATTAATCTTGCCTTGCCTATATAAAGTTCATCTTGCCTCAGGCCCTAAGTTGATTAATGATAATGATTGCTGCATTATGTCTCACTGACAACAAGGACCTGTTCAGGACAGATGCCTTGGGAGGTATGTGTCATGCTGTGCTGGCATGGTAGGGGCTCAGAGCCAAGACCAATAAGTCCAGAGCTGATCATCCTAGCCCACAATGAAGCACTTTTCCAGAGACCAGTCTTTCCAAGGTGGTTATGGAAAAAATGTCACTTGACCAAGGTCATCCAGCAGGCTCCTAAACCAGCTGGCTGGATTTTATGCAACCCAATTTCTGCTACCTCGGCCAAAAGTCTGGTATAACGGTTTTTTCATGCCTTTGAGCATTTCCTCTCTGGTCCTGTTGCTAAAATGCTATCAGGGAAGCTTTGAGTCATCTGTGCTTGTGACTGTTGTCAAAGTCTGTGTTTGTGCTTGTGAATGTTTATCCACTTGCCCAGGTGCCAATTGGGTACGCAAAAGGTGGCATACCCACTTCAAAGGGAGTGTTTTGCATATGAAGGCATTCAATCAAGCATGATATATGATGAAACAAGCTCAATTGCAACTTTTGGTATACTTTTTGAATGGAAATGACTGCTCTAGACAGCTCACTTCTCTGTTGAGTAAATATACTCCTGAGTGCGGCATGGTTTGATTATTTCATCATACCTTGCACATTGATTGAGGGTCAATTGGCGGCCGTTATATTGGAAATGGTGCTCACGAACGCCAGATATGAATGCCTCAACAATTATATTTTTATGGCATTGACCGCCGCACCGCTCATTGAATGGTTGGATTTGAATGACGTTATTATGACGTTATGAATGCCAAGGTGACTTTGAAATACACTCCCCGATAAACCTTTTACCATTTTCGCGGGCGTTAGAAATAGTGCCAACCGGTAAAGATACACTGACCAAACCACAGGCTGTGGGATAAGCCGGTTAGATTTTAAGGAAGCAAAGTGTTCCGATCGAAACGTTATCCAGCTTATCTCTTGGTGCGTGCATGCCTGTGTATAATGTATGTGTGTGTCTGTGCGCATATGTGTCTTACCTACCCTTGCACTTCCCTATCTCACTGGGCATGTCAGGTATTTGACACCGCCCCCACACACTGTACCCCAGCCAGCGTCCGCGCCCCGCGCCCTGCCGCTGGCCCGCCTCACCCTGTATCCTGTGTTGCCGGCAGCGGCTGCTCCTCTGGTCTGCGCTGTTGGCCGCGCCCGTCGGCGCACGCGACATCATCATGCTCCTGGCGCGGATCGTCCGTGGCGCGCTCAAGATCCGCTACCTGCTCCTCGGCGGCACTCTGGCCGGCGGCTACTCCATCCAGAAGGTACGTAACAGCTGGTCCAGGGAGGACTGGGTCAGCGTCAGAACTCGGAAAATAGCGCTGTGAGGAAGGAAGCAGAAGTGGTTGATCATGAAAGAGCACGGGCTGGCGGGAGCTGTACTGTCTCTGCGTTCATCAGAGTGCATATATTATCATTACCCGTCACCGTTTAATGTCAGATATGTCCGGCTTGCAGATGATATCCTTCGTTAGCTGCTTATTTTGAAGGTGATGTTAAGATGTACCGGCAGGGGAAGGGCCTGGGGAAGAGGGAATCTTCATTCACACGTCGTGATTGCCCGCACATACCTCGATCGTAATGGTCGGCGTGCGGTTGCTGGTAGTCCATGACGCGTTCCGCAGTGTCCAAGCATATTCACATAAAGGTGTATCCTTCCGCAGTCTTATGAAGACTTTAAGAAGGGTCTTCCAGATGTGGGCTGGTTGAACAATATTCTGCCTTCGAATGAATCGGTCGACGCATTCAGGGGCAAGATGATCACGTTCAAGGATAAGTTCAGGGATTCGTTTTCTGCCATCGAATTCGGTAAGCTGCGCGCTATGCTTAGAAGGTCACGTGATGTGAATTATATAAACAATGCTCGATTTGGCCCTGACTCGGATTGGATAGGTGATGAAGCGTTTTCCGGTATTTATCACACCACCCGAGAGCGCCACATTTCTATACGAGTGATCTTACATTGAGTTGTGTGGCCGATACGGAAATCGGAAGATGAAAAGTGCGCTTCTAGCTAAAAATAATGTCAAGCTGCGTCGCCACGTCACACATTCTCTTGCTCGACTCTGCATAGCCTGGACTCGGCTGAAAGGTATTCAGCTAAATACCAAAGTACGTTAATCCATGCAGGGCTCCACTAATCATCCTGAATGCTGAAATATCAACTGGCAATGTGGCCGGCAGATCCGAAGACAAAGGAGCTGTATGGAGACAAGATGACCGACTTCCGCGAATGGTTCCAGCAGCGGCTGGACGACGCTATCAAGGCTTCGGAGGGTGCACCGTCCGGCGACCCAGGTCTCGCCCCCCAACCCCCACCCCAACCCCCTCCGCGACCTTGCCTGTTGGCTGTAATAACTGCCACCGCCGCTTGCTCTTTGCTGTTTTGAGGCCCATTTACTCGGATCCTCCAAGGGGTTTTCACGAATACGTGCATTAGAGAGCATAATAAGCCGTCTTGAGGTGTCGACCGTGGAAATTCCCACTGTAATTTCAAACTCTCCGAAACACGTTCGCTGGCGAAGCTGCCGAAATGTTCGCAGCTTGTCACTTGCGCGCCACGATAGACACGATCAGAGATCACTGGCGTGTGCATCATCTTACAAAAACACAGACACGACGCATCGCTATACCGAACAGTACCGTATGTGTATCAGGTATGGGGACGGGGCCTCTGGCCTCGACAACGAATCCAACGCCGAAGCTACAACAGTGAGCTGAAGAGCCTAGGCAGTGAGATGAAGCGGGAGCCGAAGCCGATGGCTTTGAAGTTTGCCGCTGCAAATTTGAAGCGGAAGCCAGCAGCCTCGTATTTTAAAATGTGGACTCGAATCCAACGCCACTGGCTTCAAACTGTGGACGCACGGAGCCGAGGCCGCACTCAGCGGCTTCGGACTTAGGGAACGCGAAGCTGAAGTCAACGCCATCATTTCAATATCGCGAGACCGACGCCAAAGCAGTGTTAGGTGTACAACGTCATGTTGTGAAATCGACACCATTTTCGCGTCCACTAAAACTGCGATCAGACAAGATGGCGGGGGTTTGGTGTAGTGATTGGGAGAGGTGTTAACATTACGGACGGAAGATAATGTTGGGTTATCACCTCTCTCCTTTGTGTTGATATGTACACGGTGTTTTGGACGGATAGTGCAGCTGCTGCCAGGCGTAAATTGGCCCTGAGGTGCGGTATATTATAGTGACATGTCGGGCAAGATCGTTTCCGCGAATTAAAGTCGTAGCTGCAGTGTAAAACAATGGCTGATGAAGGAAAACTCGTAGTTCAGTTTCACATGAGGCCAAAGCCAAAGCCATGACTCAGATATCGTTCGAATTCCAAGCCGAAGCCGAAGGTGGTTGATCAAGATTACACAAAGCCGAAGCCGAACTCGAAACTATTTGAGGAAGTCCCCTGATTTGCGAAACCGAAGCCGCGCTTGGTTTCGTCCCCCTGCCTCATGCGCCCAGCTGCCTTTCCATGTCCTTTACACGCTGCATGTGCGCTCCAGCATACATGGCTCTTGATAGTTGAAAAAACGACTCACAGTCCTGAAAGAGCCACCAATTATAAAGTCAACACCGCAACAGTTGTGCCTTGGGAGACTGACTCGGGATCAGGGGTGATGCAGTGGTTAGGATGCTCCCTCTGCACTTCTCGGTCTTTGATTGCGGTCCGGGCCACACCACTACCACATCCTATCTGGTGCCCAGTGAAGACATCCCGTCTCGAAACGGCTCTGGCAGACGCTGGGACGTGAACTCCCGGGCAATAATGTATTGATTGCCTCGCTGGCAAGCAAAGCTGCTGGATGCATCGGGACACTCGGTAGATAACAACATAGTTTGCTGTTTATATTTGATCAGCTTGCCGCTGCTGCGTATGAATTTGGCTGCCGCCTGACCTGCTTATTTGACGCCGGCCGGCCCTTTTGTAGTATGAGATCACTGGCCTCAGAATGCGAGCACCTGTCGTAGAACACGGTCGTGTCATGTGTCTCCACACTTCTTTTGTTGGGGGCTTGTACTGTGGGTGGCTGCTGGTGCAGAGCTATGGACGCTGATTCTCCGACGTGCTGGCGCTGACACGAGTAATGGTGCCTGAGGTTTTCCACGCAAACTTCACGATCTCTACATTTGACAAAACATCGTTTTCTAAGTTTGTTGTTCCGTCCCGTTTATACTCCTGTTTTGCTTTTAGGTTTGCGTTTCCTTGGCCTTGGACCATTTCAAACAGGTGTGTGGAATCAAACCTTTCTACCAAATGGTGTATCTGAGTAATGTGTTGACATTGCAGTGCCAGTTGATTGCAGTTCAATGCAAACTGTAGATTCTCTTACGTCATGTCATGTCATGGTCTGGGACGTATTTTAATTGAAACATATAGCTCTCTTCTATTTATTTACATACCTCCTTTCTGTGCTTGAATTGTTAATGTTCTGGTATTGCGCTCAATCGCATTCTGATTCACTCCTTCTCCATTTCGTTTCTATTTTGGCTTTCGCCGAGTTCTCAGGTCATCATTCATCGTCCAGGCATATAAGTTGTGCTCTGTTCGTGTCTTGTGATATTTTGGTGGAGACCTTTGCTGCGCGGCGGTGCGCCGGTTTCGGTGCTGCGCGTCGTCGTATGGCGCGCCTGACGCTCCGGCCGCGTGCCGGCAGACCCCGGTGATGGTGACCCGATGGAGGCCGCGCCGGCCGCCGCGTTCGCCTTCACACGGCCCACCACCACCTCTGGAGACGACACGAAGCAGAACGGTACGGCGCCGCGCCGGCGCGACGAAGGCCGGGCCAGGGAGTGGGACAACACACAACAGGCTGGGCTGCGCCGACTGGGATCATGGTGCCCCAGGGACTATAATCCTTTCACCCAGTTACCTTTGACCCCGAGACTGAAGCTTAGAGACCCCGTGCACGCCGCCCGGTGACCCCGAGCGTGTCGCTCGCCTGTTAACCCTGGTCCCAGTCACGCCGTGACTCTGAGCTTGCTGCTGCCTGCAGTGACGATGCAGCAGAAGCTGGACTCGCTGCAGCAGGAGCTGGCGGATGTGCAGCTTAAATATCAGCGCGAGCTCGAAAAGGTCGAACGCGACAACAAGGAGCTGCGCAAGCGTCTGCTGCTGCGCGGGAACGAGACGGTGGTGCAGAGGAAAATCAAGGTGCGCAGCGGCGTTGCCAGCGTGCCCACAACTGGGGGGGGGGGGGGGGGGGGACGGGGGAGGGGGAAAAGGGGACGTTGTCATCTCTGCCCCCGCGGAGATGCCGTTCAGTCCTGTGGCCGAGTTATCATCGAATTTTAATCGTCATTTTCGTAGTGTGATATTAGATATTTTAATGTCACCAAGGATCATGTGTTAGATCGGCGGAATAATCTCAGCGTCAATAGACCCGCGATGGCCACTGGTATTTGTCTGCCATGCTCCTTCCCGATGACGGATTATTCCTTTGCGCAACATTTTAATCGTGTTGGTTGAAAAGTGAGCGCCTTTTCTGCGCGTTGGCTTGTTTTTTTCCGTAGGCCGACAAATCAAACGCCTCTCGGTTTCGTTGGCAGAAGTCATTGATTGACATGTATAGCGAGGTGCTGGACGAGCTGAACGACTACGACTCGTCATACAGCACGCAGGACCACCTGCCGCGGGTGGTGGTAGTGGGTGATCAGAGCTCCGGCAAGACGTCCGTCCTCGAGATGATAGCACGCGCCAGAATATTCCCCCGGTAAGGTCTCCATCCTGGAGATGATCGAACGCACCGGCATTGTTCCTGGTAGACATCCCTCCTCGAGGTGGTGTAACTCGCCAGGTTATTAGCACCTTCCTCCGTTAAAAGTCCCATTTTTGTGATGAATACTCGCGTGCGGATCTTTTCCTAGTACTCCGTTTTCGGTATGGTCGCATGCCGGTATGCCCCCGTAAGGGTAAGGCATTTGCTTTCGAAATGATGACGCGCTAGTACTTTCTCGTGGGAAGGCTTTTTAAAGATTTAATTCGAACCGTTTGGATGCATGGATTTCTGGAATGTAATTTAATAACAAAATACTTCCCAAATGCAAAATACATTCGTCCTGGAGATGATTCCTGGAAAAGCAGTCTTTTGCGACAAGACTTCCATGGTGTGTCAAATCGATTAGGATTCGTGATGCGTCAGATTGGTGAGGAGCCGGCATGTGGTGCCGTCCCACGCGCGTCAGCCGCCACAGGGAAATCGCCCCTCGTAATCAGTTAACATTCACTGGACACCAGGACAACGAAAACCAAACAAAGTTAGCCATCAGCCGTCTAACCAATCACGTAAAATGGTACGCTTTTTAAGAAAATTGGGCGATAATGCTACATTGGTTATGTCGCTGGCCTCTGGACCTGTCGGTCTAGGGCTCGGCTCCGATCACGCGGCCACCGCATCCACATGATACCTCATAAAGGTACGCGTCTCGGAATAACCCTGGCGGTCGGTGAGAGGCAAAGTCCCCATACGCTATGATTACACCTAAAGATAAAATTGTGGACGCGTTTACAGGTTCTTTTTTTGACGTTTCTTAGCAAGTGCCTGGAGAGCCGAGCAAAGGGTCGCTCGCTCGCTTGCTCGCTCATCCCGCATTAACGCGCACAATTATTTTAGCTGTTAACTCGACAGTGTCGTATTTTTGCGAACTGCCGGACTTGAGCTTGGGATCGCCATTGGCGCCATCGACCATCTCGAGAAAGATGCTAGCTGGAGTAACGAGGCCTACACGTTAGGTGGATGCTATGGTGAATATTGGCGTGCGAAAAACGCATGGCCTCAGCTCACTATCTCACAGAACAGTAAGCAATGTGGCTGGGCACATCGTGGCGCGGCTGGGAGAAATCGATATGGTACTGACTTTGTCGGTATTATGAATCCCCTCCAGGCGAAATTTTTTATGCTTTCGTGAAACGAATATTTCAGTCGTAGGACAGTGGAGATATGACGATCTCTCGGATGATGTGATAATTTTGCCCTAGTAATATATCCATCCTTTAGATGATCGTGTATACCACGACCATCCTACAATGTGCCGATTAGCTGTAATACTTCAGGTGAATTGGAACAGAAACATGTCTATACGCCAGCATTCCAAGTTAGTTCCCTTTTCTGCTGTCGTTCTGTAGTCAGGCTCGCCTGTGTGGTACAATATGTGTCCGGTTGTAAAATATGAACTGTCATGAGGTTTGCTGCTTTACGGTGGTGCAGTTGGGAGGATGACAGATGGTCCGAACCAGATGACTATCGTGTGACGAGCGTTGTTTGCCCCACAGCGGTGCCGGCGAAATGATGACCCGCGCCCCGGTCAAGGTGACCCTCTCGGAGGGCCCATACCACATTGCCCAGTTCAAGGACTCCAGCCGCGAGTTTGATCTGTCCAACGAGACTGACCTCAGGGATCTCAGAAAAGAGGTATAGCTTTGAATTACTTGATCAGATCAATGAATGTGGAAGCTGTTTACGTTTTCAATTGGATGCCCGCTTTTGGTGGGTGGCGCGCGCGAAGTTTTGAAAAGTCGAGACAACGTATGGATTTTCATTTATGCGAATTGAGAACAACAGATGACTTAATAAAACTCAACGTCCTTGTTCCTTCGCCTTTGGAAGGCCCGTCGTCCTGTTCAGTTCGCCTGCAGTGGCGGCACCAAAGCGTGTAATGCACACCGCCACTCAGCGGGCGTCCTCAAACCGCGCTCCGGGCACCGCCGGCAGGTGGAGCTGCGCATGCTGAACTCGGTGCGCGGCGGCAAGACGGTGAGCCAGGAGGTGATTTCGATGACGGTGCGCGGCCCGGGCCTGCCGCGCATGGTGCTGGTGGACCTGCCGGGCGTCATCAGCACCGAGACGGTGGAGATGGCCGTGGACACGCGCCAGGCCATCAGCGCCATGTCCGAGAACCATATGGCCAACCCCAACGCCATCATCCTCTGCATACAGGACGGCAGCATTGACGCCGAACGGAGCAACGTTACGGGTATGCTGCGGCGCAGGGTATGGTGGGGCCCATCTGACTCTGGTATGGGGTCACCCGGCGAACGGAGCAACGTTACGGGCATGCTGCAGGGCAGGGTGTGGTGGGGCCCATCTAACACTAGTATAGGGTCGTCTGGCGAACGGAGCAACGCTACGGGTATGCTGCGGCGCAGGGTATGGTGGAGCCCATCTGACGCTGGTATGGGGTCGCCCGGCGAACGGAGCAACGTTACGAGTATGCTGCAGGGCAGGGTATGGTGGAGCCCATCTAACACTAGTATAGGGTCGTCTGGCGAACGGAGCAACGTTACGGGTATGCTGCGGCGCAGGGTGTGGTGGGGCCCATCTGGCACTGGTATGGGGTCGCCCGGCGAACGGAGCACCGTTACGGGTATGCTGCGGCGCAGGGTATGGTGGGGCCCATCTGACACTGGTATGGGGTCGCCCGGCGAACGGAGCAACGTTACGGGTATGCTGCGGCGCAGGGTATGGTGGGGCCCATCTGACAATGGTATGGGGTCGCCCGGCGAACGGAGCACCGTTACGGGTATGCTGCGGCGCAGGGTATGGTGGGGCCCATCTGACACTGGTATGGGGTCGCCCGGCGAACGGAGCAACGTTACGGGTATGCTGCGGCGCAGGGTATGGTGGGGCCCATCTGACGCTGGTATGGGGTCGCCCGGCGAACGGAGCACCGTTACGGGTATGCTGCGGCGCGGGGTATGGTGGGGCCCATCTGACAATGGTATGGGGTCGTCCGGCGATGATACCGCCCGCTTGACACGTTGCGGTGGCTGCTTGGGTGTGTGTCCAAGTGCTCATCGACAGCGGTTCGTTAATCAGTACTTAATCTGCTTTGTAAAAGACTACGTAAAACTCGACTGTATCTGCTTAATGGTGCACGTGCAGTGGGTGTGCGAACTATCGAACGATCGTCTATCGCCGAACGAACTAACTATCGTCTTGATGTCAATAATTGTGTGTCATTCCAATGGCATGTTCTGCCATCCAATGGCAAAATCTGCCATTAGAATGTTTGCGTGCGGAAGTCTGTGGATAGTTATAAACGAAAACATTTTGGGGTGGAGCAATGTAGGCATATCCGTGTATCCCTCACCAAAATGGATTATGTACTGAATAACATTTGTTTTTCTTCAGAGCTAGTTTCAAAAATGGACCCGACTGGCAAGCGAACGATTTTTGTGCTGACGAAGGTGGATTTGGCTGAGCAGAATTTAGCCAACCCGGACCGAGTAAGTAACCCAGCCGTGAGGAAATGCTATAGTGAAATAGCATCATAACATGCTCGTTTGCAATGGCTTCAGTAAGTCACGTACGGTTTTCCCGTGGTTTTACTCACCAAACACCCCTCTACGACGTCGTTTATCCAACGGACTCCATATTGCGTACTCATCCCATGGGACTTCGCTTCCGTCTTGCCCTGTATGCTGTGCACCAGGTCTGACGGCTGTCCTCGGTCACGTGTGTCTTGTTCTATATGCTGTGCACCAGGTCTGACGGCTGTCCTCGGTCACGTGTGTCTTGTTCTATATGCTGTGCACCAGGTCTGACGGCTGTCCTCGGTCACGTGTGTCTTGTTCTATATGCTGTGCACCAGGCCTGACGGCTGTCCTCGGTGACGTGTACATTGCTCTATATGTCGTGTATCAGGTCTGACTGTTGCCCTTGGTTACATGTGCCTTGTTCTATATGCTGTGCACCAGGTCTGACGGCTGTCCTCGGTGACGTGTGCCTTGTTCTATATGCTGTGCACCAGGTCTGACGGCTGTCCTCGGTCACGTGTGTCTTGTTCTATATGCTGTGCACCAGGTCTGACGGCTGTCCTCGGTGACGTGTGTCTTGTTCTATATGCTGTGCGCCAGGTCTGACGGCCGTCCTCGGTCACGTGTGCCTTGTTCTGTATGCTGTGCACCAGGCCTGACAGCTGTCCTCGGTGACGTGTGTCTTGTTCTATATGCTGTGCACCAGGTCTGACGGCTGTCCTCGGTCACGTGTGTCTTGTTCTATATGCTGTGCACCAGGTCTGACGGCTGTCCTCGGTGACGTGTGTCTTGTTCTATATGCTGTGCGCCAGGTCCGACGGCTGTCCTCGGTCACGTGTGTCTTGTTCTATATGCTGTGCGCCAGGTCTGACGGCTGTCCTCGGTCACGTGTGTCTTGTTCTATATGCTGTGCACCAGGTCTGACGGCTGTCCTCGGTCACGTGTGTCTTGTTCTATATGCTGTGCGCCAGGTCTGACGGCTGTCCTCGGTGACGTGTACATTGCTCTATATGTCGTGTATCAGGTCTGACTGTTGCCCTTGGTTACATGTGCCTTGTTCTATATGCTGTGCACCAGGTCTGACGGCCGTCCTCGGTCACGTGTGCCTTGTTCTATATGCTGTGCACCAGGCCTGACGGCTGTCCTCGGTGACGTGTGTCTTGTTCTATATGCTGTGCACCAGGTCTGACGGCTGTCCTCGGTGACGTGTGTCTTGTTCTATATGCTGTGCGCCAGGTCTGACGGCTGTCCTCGGTCACGTGTGTCTTGTTCTATGTGCTGTGCGCCAGGTCTGACGGCTGTCCTCGGTGACGTGTGTCTTGCCCTGTATGCTGTGCGCCAGGTCTGACGGCTGTCCTCGGTCACGTGTGTCTTGTTCTATATGCTGTGCGCCAGGTCTGACGGCTGTCCGCGGTGACGTGTACATTGCTCTACATGTCGTGTATCAGGTCTGACTGTTGCCCTTGGTTACATGTGCCTTGTTCTATATGCTGTGCACCAGGTCTGACGGCCGTCCTCGGTCACGTGTGCCTTGTTCTATATGCTGTGCACCAGGCCTGACGGCTGTCCTCGGTGACGTGTACATTGCTCTATATGTCGTGTATCAGGTCTGACTGTTGCCCGTGGTCACATGTGCCTTGTTCTATATGCTGTGCACCAGGTCTGACGGCCGTCCTCGGTCACGTGTGCCTTGTTCTATATGCTGTGCACCAGGTCTGACGGCCGTCCTCGGTCACGTGTGCCTTGTTCTGTATGCTGTGCACCAGGTCTGACGGCTGTCCTCGGTGACGTGTGTCTTGCTCTATATGCTGTGCGCCAGGTCTGACGGCCGTCCTCGGTCACGTGTGCCTTGTTCTATATGCTGTGCGCCAGGTCTGACGGCTGTCCTCGGTGACGTGTACATTGCTCTATATGTCGTGTATCAGGTCTGACTGTTGCCCTTGGTTACATGTGCCTTGTTCTATATGCTGTGCACCAGGTCTGACGGCCGTCCTCGGTCACGTGTGCCTTGTTCTATATGCTGTGCACCAGGTCTGACGGCTGTCCTCGGTGACGTGTGTCTTGTTCTATATGCTGTGCACCAGGCCTGACGGCTATCCTCGGTCACGTGTGCCTTGTTCTGTGTGCTGTGCACCAGGCCTGACGGCTATCCTCGGTCACGTGTGCCTTGTTCTGTATGCTGTGCACCAGGCCTGACGGCTATCCTCGGTGACGTGTGTCTTGTTCTATATGCTGTGTACCAGGTCTGACGGCCGTCCTCGGTCACGTGTGCCTTGTTCTGTATGTTGTGTACCAGGCCTGACGGCTATCCTCGGTCACGTGTGCCTTGTTCTGTATGCTGTGCACCAGGCCTGACGGCTATCCTCGGTCACGTGTGCCTTGTTCTGTATGCTGTGCACCAGGCCTGACGGCTATCCTCGGTCACGTGTGTCTTGTTCTATATGCTGTGTACCAGGTCTGACGGCCGTCCTCGGTCACGTGTGCCTTGTTCTGTATGTTGTGTACCAGGCCTGACGGCTATCCTCGGTCACGTGTGCCTTGTTCTGTATGTTGTGTACCAGGCCTGACGGCTATCCTCGGTCACGTGTGTCTTGTTCTGTATGTTGTGTACCAGGCCTGACGGCTATCCTCGGTCACGTGTGTCTTGTTCTGTATGTTGTGTACCAAGGACGGCTGTTCCCAGTCACGCGTGTCTAAAGCATCATAAAATCTCCCCTGGGGGCCTGTTCTACTTTTAACTGGATGGTGCTCCTCGTCCGGCCGACCACCGGCAGCCGTCGGTGCCATCGCACAATGGTCTAGGTTGCGCCGCGTTTCCGGCTGGCAGCGCTGTCTGTTTTGTCCCGCCGCAGCCCTTCCCACGCGGTGACCGTCTCTCCTTTCCCCAGATACGGAAGATCCTCTCGGGCAAGCTGTTTCCGATGAAAGCGCTCGGCTACTTCGCCGTTGTCACTGGGCGCGGCAGCAGTGACGACAGCATCGACGAGATCAGGAACTACGAGGAGCAGTTTTTCCAGAAGTCTTCGCTCTTCCGGTCAGGGCATGATGCCTTCCTGTTCTGTTGAAAGTGCATATATCGAGTGGCGGCTGGGCGTTTTCATGTCGTCTGTAATATACTCACCCAATGCGGTATGTAGTGCAGCATATATTACAGCTGATGGCTGCCAGTTCAGTTGTAAACAAACCACCCGCCTTACTGCGCGTCATCTGTTTGTGTACATTAACTTTCATGGCCCTGTCGTTGCCAACTGATTTGAGTGTTCAAGGGCAGTGATTTAATCCATGTTTGACCCAGTATATGACGTTCGACTGCAGACGTGGATTGCTGAGACACATGATGTTGTGTCAATGTAATTTGTGCGTTTGCGCGAGTCGTGATCCATGGTCACCTGTCGACGGCACTGTGCCGTGTACGACACCATGTTAGGTGCCAATTACCGTCCACCTGTGTGATGTTCACGTGGTCGTTGTAACAGGCCTAACCATCGGACTCTGCTGACCTGAATAGAGGCAGATGACCCACGCGGCGTGCATGCCGTTGCTGACGTCGTTGTGACCGGTTTGAACGCAGGTCGGGAGTGATGAACTCTGCCCAGTGTACCACACGCAACCTCAGCATGGCCGTCTCTGAGTGCTTCTGGAAGATGGTGCGGGAGACGGTGGAGCAGCAGGCGGACGCCTTCAAGGCCACTCGCTTCAATCTCGAGGCTGAGTGGAAAAACAACTTTCCCGGGTGAGACGCGCCAGCACGTGGCCGTCTGGTGGTGCGGCCCTGGACCCCGACGGTAGTGGGTTCTGGACGTCAGGCTGACGCTGAATGTGCTGACGGCGACGACCGACAACGGCGCAGGTTTTGACGTTAGCGTGGCAAAAAGATCTCATCTTATTTCCACTGCATTCGCTTGGTACCAATGCCTGGTAGCCTTGGTGCTAGCCTGCTGGTCAAGTGCCAGCAATCTGCTGTGTGTGTGTGTGTGTGGGTGTGGGTGTGGGTGCGGGTGTGTGTGAGTGTGTGCGTGCGTGCGTGCATGCGTGCGTGTGTGCGTGCGTGCGTGTGGCTCAGTCCGTGCCGGTCTGCCGGGACGCTCGCTGCCCGGTGTCCGGTGTGTGGAACCGTCTAGTCCCGTCCGGCCTGTCCTGTCAGTTGCCGGTGTACGTGAGTGATCGGACACCTCTGAGGCTGTGTTCCTGTTGGCACGACGGTGCTGCAGCAGTGTCTGGGAGCCCTGGGTTCTCACGGCGGCACTCCCGCGCCGTTCACAGGCTGCGTGAGTCTGGGAACCCTGGGTTCTGACGGTGGCACTCCCGGGCCGTTCACAGGCTGCGTGAGGCTGGGAACCCTGGGTTCTGACGGTGGCACTCCCGGGCCGTTCACAGGCTGCATAAGTCCGGGAACCCTGGGTTCTGACGGTGACACTCCCGGGCCGTTCACAGGCTGCGTGAGGCTGGGAACCCTGGGTTCTCACGGCGACACTCCCGGGCCGTTCACAGGCTGCGTGAGTCTGGGAACCCTGGGTTCTGACGGTGGCACTCCCGGGCTGTTCACAGGCTGCGTGAGTCTGGGAACCCTGGGTTCTGACAGTGGCACTCCTGGGCCGTTCACAGGCTGCGTGAGCTGGACCGGGACGAGCTGTTCGAGAAGGCGCGTGGTGAGATCCTTGACGAGGTGGTCAACCTCTCGATGGTGTCGCCCAAACAGTGGGAGGAGGCGCTCAACAAGCGACTGTGGGAGAAGATGGTGTCCTACGTGTTCGAGAAGATCTACTTGCCGGCTGCGCAGAGCGGCAATGCAGGTCAGAGATAGAGCTGCTGCATTAGGTTTTCGGTGGTACTGAAGTTGCCAGAGCTGAAGCGGACGAGTTGTTACCATTTGACGTCCTCACCGCAGTCCGAGGAGCTACCCATGCCAAAAGCGGTAGCCAGTTAACGGCTACCGTTTGACAAACGGTAGCCACTAAGTCATACGGAAGCCAGTTGGTCATACTGAAGCCAGTTGAGTACGCCAGAGAGCTGGGGGGGGGGGGGGGGGGGGGCGGGGGGGTTCGAGTGTTCGGCTCTGGACCTGTCGGCCTTTGGTTCCAGCCCCTGCCACTCCATCACTGCATCTCACATGATGCCTAATACAGGCATCTGTCTCGCAATGGCCCTGGCAGTTGGTGAGGCATAAATCCCCAATAATTTTATGAGAGCCTGTATGGTCAGGCGGCCAAGACAAGCTGGCCGGAGTCGACACCAGTCTGCCAATGGCGTAGCGTTGCGACGTGCACACGGCGGCGGGCGCCCCGCCGGTGGATTTCGTCCCACTCCCGTCCATCTCCTAGCCCTGACATTTAGTTTATACCAGTCCTGTTGGGGGTAACGTGACCTAGCTGCCCAGGTCCGGTCCGTAAGCAGCCGGCTGACAGTGAGGGTCCTGAGGTCAGAGCCAGCATTACTCCGCGCTGCGGACACACTGCTACTGCCTGTCGGCTGAACACTGACCTAGTGCAATCACTGGTACTCTTTCGCCGCCAGAGATCATCCCCTGATGCGACAGTTAAACCAAAGGGTCACTGCGACCTGACTGGCATCCACCACGGGAGATCATCTGGTGTGACAGTTACACCACAAGATCACCACAAGGTCACCCGACTGGAATCCGTCATGTGCATCGGATCGCAGCGATGCTCATCTTTTAACGTGTAATACCTGGTCTCAGGTACCTTCAATACCACGGTGGACATCAAGCTGAAGCAGTGGGCGGACGACAGCCTGCCGAGACGCTGCGTCGAGGTCGGCTGGGAGACTCTCGAGGAAGAGTTCAAGTGCGTGCTACCCGGCATTGATAGTCGTGCCGATTATGCCTTTTTCCCTTTCTTGTGGTGCTGATAGCCGACTCGTCGGCAAAACTGGCGCACCTATCGTCACCGGTGTAAAGACCATCGCCAAGTACTGGCACCTTACATCGCCGGCGTAAGGACGCCCAACTACTGGCACCTTACGTCACCGGCGTAAGGACAGCAAGTATTGGCACCTTACAGTCACCAGCGGAAGGGCACCAAGTACTGGTCATTCGTCTGGTTCATTGGGCCGAAATTTAAGACGTTTGTATGCAGTAATGGATCCTCAGAAGTGAAGAGTACACGTGAAATAATGCAAGCGAAATGATGCAATGAAAAGAAAACAAGCGGTTAACACAAACTGCGTAATCTTTCACCCACTATGTTTGCGGTGGGCCTGGTTTGTAACCCAGCGCGCACCCTCAGGCGCTTCATGTCTCGCTCTGAGCGGCGGCGAGACCACGACAGCCTGTTCGACCCGGTGAAGCGCGCGGCGGTGGAGCAGGCGCTGCACGACCACGACTGGGAGCAGCGCGCCGTCGAGCTGCTGCGCGTCATCCAGCTGAACGCGCTGGAGGACCGGGCCGTGCACGACAAGCGGCACTGGGACGCCGCCGTGCAGTTCCTCGAGGAGAGCATCAAGGACAGGCTGCAGGTGCGCGGCGCCACAGCGGCGGTCCGGGCGACGCCCGCCGGCCGGTGCTCAGCTCTGAACAGTGGCTGGATGCCGTCGTTGCCTGCTGCTACCGGTTAAGGCAGCAACAGACGACGCTTTGTATGGCGCCCGCGGTATACAGCCGTCGTGTACCAGCGCGGTTCACCTGCGCTTATTTGTGAGAGTGTCGGTTAGTATTTCGGGCCAGAAGATGTGACGTGGTTTGTGTGTCGTGCAAGTGTACTGGACCCTGGCGAGACGTCAGCTGCCCCAGCTTGACGTTTCAGACGTGTTAAGGTCCGGTGCCACACACTTGATTGAGCTGCCCCTCGATGCTGGTGTGGCCTCTGTGTGGTCGGTGGCAGGATGAGCGACGGATTTGGTCAGATCGGTCAGCGGCGGAATGGCCGCACCTGGTACTGGCAGCGCGCTGCGTCGGTGTGTCAGTGCGTGCTCCGTTCCCCAGACGACAGAGCAGATGCTGCGCGAGATGACGGGCCCGGGCGTCTGGGAGCGCTGGCTGCACTGGCGCTCCGCTACCAGCGAGCACGTCCGGAGGGCGGCCGTCCGCACCGAGCTCGATAAGGCTCTGCACGCCGACTACGTAAGCCACACACACAGATAACGCTACAACTGCATTGGCAAAAGAAATCGAGCAGTATGGGTTTAACATTTGGGCAGGCAGCTTAGAGTGTGAAGATCGCGGCGCATTTATGTGCTGTTGTGCGGGTTTTTCCAGTGACGGTGCTTTTGAATCGGCTGATAATGTGCTGTTCATGTCATTGATTCACTGAGACTATGATGTTTGTATCGTCTGCCCCAGGAGCACCCGCCCCAGCTGGGCTACGACGAGATCATGGCCATCCGCAACAATGTCAAGACGAGTTCAGGCCTGGAGGTGGACAACGAGCTGATTCGGGACACGTGGCGGCCCGTCTACCGGCGCTTCTTCCTGCGCAAGGCCCTGGCGCGCGCCTACGACTGTCGCAAGGCGTTCTGGCTCTACCACCAGGACGTGGCTGAGCAGGAGTGCGACTGCAATGACGTAGTGCTCTTCTGGCGGATCCAGCAGATGATGCGCACCACGGCCAACACGCTCCGTCAGCAGATCATCAACCGCGAGGCGCGCCGGCTGGAGAAGCGGATCAAGGAGGTGAGTTGGGGGCGGGCACCGCCTGTCGGGGGTCAGTGTGCCGGAGTGCAACATGCAGTTGGGGAAATACCGCCTGTCGACGGGCCAGTGTACCTGGGCGTATCATACAGTGAGGGGACACCGCCTGTCGAGGGGTCAGTGTACCCGAGTGTATCATACAGTGGAGGAGACACCGCCTGTCGAAGGGTCAGTGTACCTGAGTGTAGAGCGGTTGAATAGCATTTAGAGCGGCTGTATATGTAGGTGGCGCGCCTGAAATTTATCCTCGCGTGTAGGATTAAGGCTCCTAAGTTTGCGCGATCCATTCCAGGTGCTGGAGGACTGGAGTCTGGACGCCGAGAAGAAGCGCACGCTGCTGACCGGCCGTCGGGTCAGCCTTGCCGAGGAGCTGAAGCGGGTCCGCCAGGTGCAGGAGCGGCTCGAGGAGTTCATCAATGCTCTGCAGGACGAAAAGTGACGGTGAACCGTGCCGACCCACTCCAGAACCAAACGTGCGTGAGATATCGACGCACTTTAGAGCAACAAGGGTTGTTAGGAGTATGCCACGCGGCGTGCTCAAGGACGAAACTGAACTTTGCGAGAGTGCATGAATGAGCATGAGCTATGCGCGGGGTTTTGCATCCCTGGAACAAAACCGGAACTGCAATATGATCGCCATCATGACCCGTTGTTAGTGGCGAAGGGCGGCAGGACCCCTCGAGTTGTTCAGCCGGCACGTAAGCCGGGTATGCCAGCTTGCCTCGGGATAATTCTGCGAAAGGCGTCGAGTTGGAAGCAGGCACTGTGATCTGTCCAGCCTGCGTGCCTGACGTGCTGCGACATGGTGCCCGTGTTGGCCGGTAGCGTGCGTCTAGCGCCAGTGATGTCCGTTTGCTGTGAATCCCGTCGTCCAGGGCTCTCCGGAGACTTTGGACTTTACCAGGGGCGGAGAGCGCGGCCGTCGATTGTTGCGTTGGGCATACTGAGCGGTTGAGAAGGGGCAGGACGCATTGAATGCATCCGTGGATTACCTGGCGACGACGTGCTAGGGCAAGTCTATGACGTCACGGCCGATTGCGTGAGACGGCGCGCAGCCGGTTCCGATTGGTGAGTCTTGCAGCCCGGCGCTGAAGGCTTTGCGATGTTTGTACTGTTTTGTTACCGACCAGCCGGAGAGAGACGAGGGGTAGCTCATCTGAGCGCGTGCTCTGGTCAACAGGGACAGCTCGTCTAAGGGCGTACTCCTGTAAACAGACGACTTGTAGGGTGCTCTGAAGCTTTAGTGGTGCCGCGGTCCGCGCAGGCGATTTCATGTCTTCAGTCAATAAATCCTGTGATCGTGCCGTGTTGTGGCATCATTGCAAAGTGCTGGAAGCCAAAAGAAGTATAGCCAGGAAGACTGTGCATCTATTGCGTCAATCCGTTCAGGGGCGCTTGTCGCTGCAAGGTTGTTTATTTCGCGTCCACGGGTAGTGCGCTATGCCCGTCTTTCCTGGGTGGGGTCGGTGCAAAGCACGGGTTTTCCATCACGCTGCTGGCAGACAAGGATCAGCCCGTTTGCCGCCTGCACAGTGGGCGGGTTAGACTGTTAACCGAGGTAGGTCTGTTAGACTGTATTAGACCGAGGTAGGCCTGCCGATCCAAAGCCGTGAGCCTGCTCGGCGCGGCTACGTTGCAGCTGTCACTTTGTTACAACAGCGAGTCGCGTTTCTCTATACGTGGCGTGTGACTAAGAACGTAATGTCCATGCTTTGTCCGACGCTCACATTGCTCCAATATTGTTCGTTATTGCACAACGGGACCGTATTAGATACGACCATGGGTCCATCCGCAGCTGTCTCCACAAATGTATCAGATTGAAGCCATTACCTTATTCGCCGATGTCAATCCATCCGAGTCCATACGCAGTCGTTCCGCAATACGCCGTCCTGGCGTGGGACTGCGAACGCGTGCAGATCTCCGCAACCGCGGTGGTCGGTGCTAGGCTTCAGCCGGAATACCGAACATAATTCGGGTGTTTATAATACTGGCTAGAACCGCGTGTGTTGCTCCGCATGGTGTGGCACTTACTGTCCGTACTACAATTTCTGTCATTTGTTGTCCTAGGAGCGATACGAAAAGTAAAACTGGCCCGACTAGCGCGGCAGCTGGACAATACCCTTGACATTGCTACAACGTTGGTGGGGATAGTCACGCAAGCATTGGCTAGCGCAAGCTCGGGTCTCAGAAATCTATCCATCCAAAAGGGTTCGGATTAAATCTCTACAAAGGTGCAGGGTGGGGGTCAGGTTTGTTTTAGCGGCATCCTTGTCTTAGCCCCAGAACATATTGCATAAGACAATACTTCTAGGCTTGTTCCTGGTCGAATAGCCAGGAAAAACGAGGGACAGATATATCAATAGATCAGCAACATGCCTTTATCAAAGCCATTGAGTAGTTCATCACGGGATCATGTACGGTACACACGGTATTGTACTACAGAATTACGGTGTTGCATATGGTATATCCGATACAGTATTAAACGACAATGGAACGGAGCCGGAATAATAATGCAACTAACTATTTTCGTCTGGCAGTTTGACGAAGAATAGGGATAAAGGTACTGTCGGACGTAAATGAGCAATGCTCCTCACAAATGCACTTGACAACTGACGTCCCAGAATACCCGTGATATTTGTTGCCAATAACTGACAATTTCGACGAGATTGAAGTTCAGATCACTGCTAGAGAATAAATATGATGCATCGACTCTAGAAAACTCTTGCTTCTTCCTTTTCTTCATTGGACTACAAAAGCCTCACATATTTCAATTAACACCGCAGATGATTATATCCACAGCCCGCGATAAAAAGCCCAGGTAACACAGTAAGAGCCTTCCACGACCGCCGTGCAGCTACTGCCAAGTAGTCGCAGAGATCATCGATGCCACTGCCCAGAGATCAAAGTTTAGAGTTCTTCATTACGCTCGCTGCCAAGAGCGTGCTGACGCGGCGAAGTTTGCGTGTACAAACAAAACGCTGTCCATGTACACGCACGGTGGTTTAACTGGGTAGATCTTTACCCCCTATCGCCCATCGGCACAGATGGGGCAAGTTCGGCTACGGTATTCCGCTACCGGGTAATATCTAAACCAATAGGTTGCGGTTTGCCAGGTATTGGTACAGCATCTGGAACCCTGGATCTCGCGTAGGCTGGATGTTGTGAGTGCTGGGTGTTATGAACCTCAGGTGCTACGGTTTTGGATGCTGCGCGCTTGAATGCCATGATTTCCCTCTGCCCAGGGACATTGGTCGATTTTTGGATGTCATGAACGCTGAATACCGCGATTCTGGACGTTGTGACCACCGCCTATGAATTCTGGATGTTTCAATACGCATTGGCCACTGCATCCTTGAAGCAGGTCACATCATAGATCAGCCACGACATGAAATGAGCAAATATGTCCATTCTCTTCCTCGACTTGTCAGTGCTGCGAGATGACTTTGCAACGAAACGATCCATCGCCACGCAGCCGTACTGAACGCAAGTGACCAACTCAGGACATTTAGAGCCTGAACAACGCTCGCCGCCGCTTCTGTCGACATGCCGCGAGGCGTGTGGCTGCATTACAATCATGAGCGAAAAGCAAGTTCGTTGTTCTGAAATACATTTCATGTTTTATTCCAACTGCATTCGGGACTGCATGAGATTCCCACTCCTGTAAGAAAACAAGAGAACAGGCGTTTCGTATCACAACAAAGTGATAGTAACCTCAGTACTATCTCAAGCGGCAAAGATGACACACTTCATTGGACAGTATTAAAAAAGAATGTCAGTCATCGCGAATACATCTCGCAGTTCAAGCAGCTGCCTTTGCCGTGCACTCAATTCTGTCACCTCCATACCGTACCCCCCCCCCCCCCCCAGTCACTCAATAAAATCGGTACGATACATCTGCATTACCCACCCACGTACCACAGATCTCGCGCCGATGTGGACTGCTTCCCCAAGTCGCAAATCGCGTGCGACCGAAGTCCTGGAGTGGTATTCACCAGAGGTGAAATCAGCACATGCTTGACGCCCGTCAGATGTCACGACCAACCCAGATCCCCCTTAACCCGTCCACCATTTCTGCCCCGCGCTCATATCCGTCCCCGCGGCTTAGTGTGCGTGTCGAACAGCTTGCGCACAAAGAACACCTGCAGGCAACCGGTGGCGACGACCACCACCACCTGGATCAGTGACCAGCGCATGACGTAGGCGTTGTTGGAGATGAGCAGCTCCCAGTCGCTGGCCGCGCGGGACCTGGAATGGCTCAGGTACTGCTTGGAGATCTGCACCTTGTGGTCCACTAAGCCCAGACCGTTCTGTAAACAGCGTGGGCGAGGGATGCGGTCAAGGTGTACACAGATCATGTCAACTTGGGGAAGTTTTGAAGCTAAAAGAAACAAGGACAAGCAACAACGTTGTCGGGTTAAACATTGCCATGGCATAAGGTGACCTTGAACAATTTCGCTAATAAGGGCGCAAGGTGAAGCCTCCGTGCAGAATGACGAGCATCTATAATGACACTTATCTGGTAATTACACAAGCAAGTTATACCCAGAGCAAACATAAAGTAATTTCGGATAAGATGAGGCCAATATAATACGGACGGGCAAAAGCAAAATGCACTCGAAATGCCCGATGAGTTTATCACATGAAGAAACAAGATTAATTCATCACTAAGGTATCGAAAGCTAACTGCAGAAAGCACGAACTCAACACAGGCCTGACACCATAAGAGCGCAATGGCATGTCCTACGTTAGTGGAAAAAATGTTAGTGTTCTGTGAAGCCCTCTTATGGCGCGGCTTACCGTAAAATTGGTAGCGACGATGTCATACTGCTCCAGTTCCTCAGAGTGTTTCTCCCATTCATCGTACCTGTAATCAAAACAAGCTATTTTTACCAAATTTCAGGTCCCAACGTCGGGAAACGCGTTACGGCCAGGTAAGAGGCCATGCCAGAGAAAGTTGCAATCACAAGGAAACTTCTGGAAGCACGAAACTCTTAGAACACTTTTAGTCGTAGATGTGGGCGTCGAAAAATGCCGACCGCCATAGATGAGTTTTTGTAGGTGCTACTTCTTTCCGCTCTGTGAGTTAATTTGTAGTCCACATTCCAACTGCGGACCACATTCATTCCCGGTAGGCCAAGGTCGGGGTGCGAATCTGGTGAAATGGACATAGTGCTTGGGGTAGAAGCACACCTTTTGCACCCACACTTACGATAACCACGCTGATTTCTTCACACGCACCTGAAAGTGGTCAGATACATGTTGACCAGCTTGCCGGCGAAGCGGGAGAACTGGTTGTCGATGCAGGAGGTGAAGTATCCGCCAGTCTCGGACGTGGTCTCATACTCGGACTGCTTCTTCCACTGGTATGGATGCACCAGCTGACCGGTCGGATCCCGGACGGCGAACCCAGTCATGCCGTCTCCCCCACGCAACGTCTGGCGACACAAAACAGGAGGTCATGGAGAACCCCCAGTCACGCGGCACACAGAGTGCATTAGCACCGTGTGTGACGACCTGTAGGAAAACCTGGTCATGGACGATTAGGGAACAGACGACCCAAAACTCATCACAACAGCGTCTGAAGAGCGCCTGGGGGCCACGGAGGGATGCGAGCGGGCGTCGTGAGGGTCCTCGGAGTCTAGGGTACACGGCGCACGGTCGCACGGGACTCCGCTCGAAAAACGCATCGGCATGCTAAAAAACATGGGGACACAAAATGTTTCGGGGGGGACACAAAAGGGGGCGGGCACCGCGGAAATCGAATCCAGTGCCTCTGGTCTCCCAGGCATGCGGTGGCTAACGAATATGCGTTAACTCCTCTACAATCGGCACCCTTAGGTCTCCAACCATCCTGTTCATCTGTATGAAAAGCAGCTTCACCAACTCGAGCGTACCCCTAGGAGGGGTTTCAGCCTAGCGTCTTGGGGGGACGGTACCTCCGCAAACGCAAATGCTACAAACATGAGACCCAATAGCAGCAGCGGCAAGCTGTCAGGGAGACGATGTTAATTAAAATACGCTTTGTGATCGAAGGTCAAGGTCAAGGTCGCCCAGACGTCAAGAGGTTTGATATCGAAGCTCAACGGAAATTGTTATTTAAAGGGAGCCCAGCCGGCCATCGAAATGCTTCGCTCGGTAGGCTGGACAAAATCACATTTTTTGGGGTGTCGTACGGAAACAAAAAAATACAGAATAGACTGCGTCGCTGGCAGTCCTTAAAGGCAGTAATAAGTCAGACTGGGTTAAGGTCAAACCGAGACAAAGAAACAGACAATTTTGGGGGGAGAATTTTAAGTGATTTTGTTCTAAACGTGTTGAATGCATGTATCGCATAAGACACTTCTATACGTGCCATTAACAACGGTCACCAACACTTCATGGCCGATTATGCAAAGGTCATTAGTGCCTTGATGTGTGATGCGTGCTACACTGAAATCGTTTGATGTACGGGTGATGCTTGACGCGTGATGCGCGATGCCTGCTAAATTGAAAGCGTTTGCGTGGATAACTGGTGCGTGATGCGCGATTCCTATTTGCTTGAAATCGCTCGCATGCATAAATGATGCGTGATGCGTGATGCCTGTTTCACCTGAATTCGTTTGCATGTACACGTATTTTTCGTGAATTTTTAATTATTGATTGGACATACACTGTATGATAGTGATGACTGACAATTGTTCATTGTTTATTCCGTGAATGTTGGTGAACTGTAAAAACTACTGCTCGCTGTTAAGAAAAGACCTGAAAAAATCGTCCTGGATCGGCAGGAAATTTTGCGTTTACTACTGATATTCGTATTGATAAAAGTGTACAGCCGAAATATCAACGCATATATCTCTCCAATCTCCTGATGATTCCGCCAGGAATACGGCTATTAGTGATGTCCTTCTTGTATACATAAGGTTTTTTTGCAAATGCATTAAGCGACTAGCAGTGAGCTCCGCTAAAACTTCCTGCATTCTGTGCGCCCTCTTATCGTACGCGCTACCAACTATTCTTCACTCGAAGTATGTAGGCCTCTGGCATCTCTCAAAGCAAGGGGTTCCGGTAATGCGTTTGATCGTCACTATAGCTCACCTTTCTCGCCACGACCAATGAATGAGCGACGGGAGCGTGTTTCGTCGTTTTACTTAAAATACTGGTCGCCGGCGACTGGACAATCGACTGGTGTCATTTTGGCGACGCGAAAATATTGAGCTGGGACCGTTTAGATTAAGGTGATGTATGAACGGGGCAGTGCACATAATGGCAAATGAATGTGGGTAAATAAAGGCGATAAATCGACGCACACGGTGAAGTAAATTTAGTCACGATTTATTACGATATTATAATTTGGCTGCGGTTTCGGCGACAGCGTGTTTTGTTCGGCATCGTTTTCAACATGCTGACATTTCTGGCTTTCCCGACCAATACTGGCACGACCGTGCGTCGCATAAACTCGTGTTGGACACGTGAATTAACGCCTGCCATTAGAGCAATTAATGCTTTGCTCGAAGCTCAAATTAGCAATTAACACTTTGCTTTTCCATTGGATTTGCGCCTCCATGTACTTTGGCTACCGAAACACAGTACAAAACGGAAAAAAGCATTAAACCGGCCAAATTGGTCTTGGCCGCTTCCGTGCACGTGTCACGTGCGACAACACATTTGGCGCCACGTGATTCTCCGCTCGATCATCCAGCTAAGCGTGTCAATTTCTCGTCTCTATTTGTTAAGCCAGTCACGTGACGTTCGCGCGTCTTCCGGCTTCCTGTTGAGCCTGTCGTTACTAGTTTCGGGTACTTTTATTAGAGTTTTAACATCATGTGTTCGAAGTTGAACGCAAAGTAAAACGGACAACTATTCTTGCGGTAACCGCCATTGGAAAATTCATTATAGTACGTCGACATTTGTCTGAGTGCCGTTCGAAACTCCGTCAGCAACCAAACTGGACAGCAACAGATGCATTAAGACGCGCAGATGATCGCCTTCAAACAGCGAACAAACCTTCGACTGGTGTTACGAAGCACGCAACCTGACGAATGTCGTCATTCTGTTCACACATCTGACACAGAAGTGAGAACTGAAACCCGATACCCAACCGGTGGTCAGTCTCGCATCCACATGAAAACTGACGTAAACTCACGTGAAAGCTGACGTAAAACTGAGCTCCGGGCTGGACGTACTGGTAGAAACATTCTTCCTTGCCTGCCTCTACCCAGATACGGTAGTCCATGGCCAGACCCGGCGCCATGATGTCAAACTCGGGATCGATGGGATCCGTGCCTGAGGTGACGCAGGACAGCTGTCACACACACGGCATCGATTTTCACAACCAGACAGCTGCAACGGAAGTGGTTTGTGAAGACACCTGCCATGATCATGCAACCCCTCCGTCCGACGTGCGTAGTGTATCATACCACACATTTTCCTAATTGCCGTATAATCAACTGTCCCGCTGAGGTATGCCTGGTATTATAATGATCCTTGCAAATGGACTTGAAAGATAGCAAGGCTTGACACATTTTAGACCCAAACCTTTCCAAAAATGAGGCCCACTTTCCACAACGTTTTGGGAAGACCCTGCGCTAATGACAAACTCATGCTTGCGCCGCAAGCACCTGTTCTAATGTATACTTGCCAGTCAGAAATGACGCCTCCAATAAATATAATGTTGATAACCGCTTCCATCATTCTCTTTCAGAGAGCAAATGCATTAGTAGACGGCGCGTCCGTACCCCCCCCCCCCCCCCCTCCAACCACCCCCATCTTTCTCTTGAACTACTAGTCAATAAGAAGCTCAAAAAACGGAGCCAAACGACGAGCACCACCCGAACCAAACCTCACCTATTCGACGGGAAGGTACCGATAGTTACCGCATGCCCCATAAATGGCGGCTGCAATACCGTCAGAAGTGAGTAAACGAGCCCAGTAAACTTTGACACACGAAAGGTTTATGTCCACGGGGCTTACTTCAGCCAGCCTGTGATCACCCGTAGGAGTCCATTTTTGTAGACGTGCTGCTAAACGATGGATATGACGAAGTTCGGTGAACGCACCACCGGGTGGTGCTCGTTGTTCTTTTGAAATCTCGACAGAAGAAATAGGAGACAGGACACGAAAGCAGCGACAAGTTCAAAGACACATATCGCACGTACTGCCAGGCAAGCGATAAACGGAATAGCTGTAACGAGGGATATACCCAGCATATTTCCCACACGAAAGTGAACTGTCGAATTTCCAGCTTTGGCCCCATTTGCTGCGAAAGGATATAAGTGTAAACATCATAGCTCAGGGAGGGAGGGATATAGTCCCCTGGTCCCCGCCCCCTCGGCTACCTTCCTGGATCTAATACATGCAAAATCAGTTGCCTTTTGCCGACAGACACTTTTTGATTTTATCAAAACTAATATTATCGTAGTTTCAAAAAAAAACTCAATTGGGGTGAACCGAAACACAGCTCGAAGATTTGTGGAGGGAGGCTGGGAAAGGTGAGAGAAGGACGCATACGAATGGCACTGAGGAAGTGCCGTCAAATTTTCTGAAGGGCAGTTGTCTTATAAAGGTACAATCTGTCGCAACAATAAAGTGATTCCCTTGGTCCATGAATCAACTGTTGATTTCACGAAGCCGAGTTTCTAACGATTATTACTCCAGACCTTGATTGATGTCTTTGGGATCCGATCCAAACCCTAATCAGCGCTTGTTGCGCGAACCCTGACAGCATCATCATATCGTGAAATCACGGACCCAACGATAGCATTTAGGGCGAGAGCTTAACGTGCCGCATTCTCGGCGAGGTTTGTGGTGCCCTTTGACGTCACCTGACCATAACCCCGCCGGTCGCCACCAATCGCAGACCATCCTAGTCCCCGCCAAGCCACAAACGGGTGAATCAGAAGGCAGGTGCCTTAACCAACTGAGACAGCGCAAACGGAGAACACTATATGTCGATTAAAAATTGCGTTGGCGGTGCGTTATACTGATTTCTCGTGCTGTCCCGAACCGCTTCGCTGTCGCGCACTGCCTTGAGTATACGTGGACCGAATGACCGTGTGGCGTGAATCGTGGTCAGAATCGTGTATCACGAGCCCAGTGACGGAATCCGCATTACCCCTAGCATTTGATGGGCGCGAGAACTGCTTTATGCTACTGGAGGGGACTCGATGAGCTCCCTTCGTGTCAAGGGGCCTTCTTAGTGGATTATCGAGAGTGAAAAGACGTTTCCTTCCCCCTAACAAGACCATATTCTAAGCTTTATTTAACGAATTGCATGCAACTAACACGGATCACTAGTTAGTGTCTAAAAAATTGGTATGTCGGGGCGACATATGAATTTACTAGCGACATTTCATCAGCGTACCCAGGGGACAGAAATAGGGAGGATAACAAAGAACCGATAGTGCTTGAGTTCGTGCGGGACAAATACGGTGGTGCGTAGGATTAATGTCAGCAAAGAAAGAAGAAGGCTACAAAATATCATAGGCAGCGGCAGGGGTGTGAAAGGAAGAGTATAAGCGAGTGAAAATGTGTGTGTGTGTGATATATGGTGTGTGTGTGTGTGTGTGTGTGTGTGTGTGTGTGTGTGTGTGTGTGTGTGTGTGTGTGTGTGTGTGGTGTGTGTGTGTGGTGTGTGTGTGTGTGTGGTGGTGTGCGTGTGGTGTGGTGTGCGTGTGGTGTGCGTGTGGTGTGGTGTGGTGTGCGTGTGCGTGTGTGTGCGTGGTGCGTGTGCGTGTGCGTGTGGTGTGGTGGGTGTGCGTGTGCGTGTGGGTGCGTGTGCGTGTGTGTGGTGTGCGTGTGCGTGTGCGTGTGCGTGCGTGTGTGTGTGTGTGTGTGTGTGTGTGTGTGTGTGTCAGTTCTGTTATACGCAAGGGCAAATGTACATTAATGGCTTGTTGTGTATTTGTTCGATTGCTCGAATAAAATCCTTCGTTGTTTTCGGTAAGTCGTAAATCAGCTCGCCTATAATCATATATATATATATATATATATATATATATATATATATATATATATATATATATATATATATATATATATATATACGTTGAACCTAACCAACGTTTCAAGAACATTCATTTCCCATTCTGAAAGCAATATAAAACGGCCGGACGGAAAACATTCGAAAATGGCAAATAGGACGCATGCTCTACGAGATATAATCATTGGTGAACGATCAGTTAACAGATAATGCATCCAAATATATCTAGTCAAATTACAAAACACATTCAAACAGACACACATCGCTTCTCCAGCCACTTGAACACCACGGAAAGGTAAAGGCATCGAATCACCCTGCTGTTAATGGATGACTGGACAGGTCCAGTCACGCATGGCTTAAGTTGTTTGTTTAAGTCAGGCGTTCTTTCTCTGATGAGGATGGCTCAACAACTAGTAAATGGCGTTTGCTCGGACATAATCTTAAAATCAGTGTGCTTTCGATCGGGTCAGAGCGTAGGAGCTTTTGGTTATGGGTTTTGCGCATATGTTGGTCTGGCGCTCCTTCCTGCAGGTGCATAGTCATGCGTCGTGATAGAGATGTGGTGGTCATTCCAATACAGGTATAGTTGCTGAAGCATGTAGCAGCATTTAAATTCATGCATCATATTGGTGCACTTTAGTTGGTTTTGGTCTGCTGTAAGATTGTTTTTCATTATAAGGCTGCTGGTTGCTCCACTGTTGTAATATATAGTAAGTCTTATTTCAGTGTTTTGGTCAGTCGGTGTGACATTTGTCTTGATTATGTTCCGCAAAACTTTTACATCCACCTTATGCAACAAAGACATTTCATTTCGACGAAAAAGCTGACGAGGCGGTCTGAAATTATACTTTGAATCACAACGCCGATTTCTGCTTTAAATGAGTTACGGTGTTCAAGTGACGTGTATGAACATATGTGATGAACGATCCAGCTTTCAAAAGGAGAAGAAGTGGGGAGACGCGATTTGAATGCTGAAGCGGCCTCCATCCATCCGCTGGCAGTTCGCTGTCGGCTACCATGATCCCCACATTCTAAGGTATCTCCTACTCTCCTCTGTCGTCATTTCTGAGCTTACTTATGGCATGTAGCTAATAGCTATTTTTCAGGCAAAGCTGACAACGCATAAGTGAAAACATGTTATGTAACATG